TTCGGTTAGTTGGAAGGTTTGCAACGTTTAACTTGGTACTATTTCTCTTTGTTTGCAGTATATTAGTAGGGATAGGGACAGGGATAGGGACCGATACTATCACGAAAGGGATAGAGATCGGTACGCCGATAGGGAACGGGATAGGAGGGATCGCAGGGACCGGGACAGGGAGAGGGAAAGAGACAGAAATCGAGCCGCTTACGATTCGTCGGATAGTTCGGAAGACGACGATGGCGATAGTTCGTACAGTCCTAGACATAGTAAACGATTACGATTATCAGGGAGTCATTCTAAGTCAAGCGTACCAACGTTACCAAGGACAATTTTTCATAGGTGAGTGTCGTAATAATCATGGAGAAATGTTAATACCATGACTGAATTGGTGGTCAATACGACAAAAAAGATTTTATCGTTTCATTATTAATTTTTGTTGTTATTATAATTTTTTAGATAGATAAATTCCACATTTGAGTATTATTTATTGTATTTTTAGGGCGTTAGATGCGGTGGGCATGTCTTGGGATAACATGCACTTAAAAAACATTTTATCTAGTGATACATACTGTTCACATGTTCCTGACACAACTAGTTCCGGCAGTTTTAATTCACAAGGCCAGCCTTTATGGCACGGTAATTACAACCTCTTTGTTTCTTACTTCAAAAAATGCATCGATATTTTTCGTAGAATCGATACCATTATGTGCGGCTCGAGTCGACTCTTTACGTTCCCATGGCCATATGGAGGCCGCTCTAAGACTGGCGGTTTCTGTAGTTCGTACAATGAAGCAACAGCAATTGGTTGCGCAACGTCGTTGGCACGAGAGTCAACAAGCCAGTACTAGTAGCAGTAGCAATAGCAAATGTCAAACAAGTTGCAAGACGACGCCGTGTACGTCTCGATGTACGGGACAGTGTAATAGCAATTCGTGTTCAACGACGTCTATCACGGCTCCTGCCAACACGGATTGTTGGGTGGGACATCCCTTGGACCCAATTGGTACTCTTTTTGATACGCTTGCCGATTCTTCAATCATCCCGGATGATCAGAGACCGAGAACTCCGAGTTATCTCGGTAGGTTTTTTAATTTTCGTAGGTGATTATTGGCTTATTTGAAATGTTTAGATATCGTAGGAATGGAAGAACAGCACAACATCAGGCCAAGATATCACCATGTGCCTGTAGTGGGGTCGCGGGACCGCTCTGAAACCTACTTAACTTTGGCGTTTGAGGTGGCTTTGATCGGTTTAGGGCAACAGAGGATAATGCCAGTGGGGTTATACGCACAGGAAAAGGCTTGCAAGCAGGAAGACCGACTCATAGCCAAGCTGCAGGAAATCGAATTGGATAACAGTCTCATAGCTGTACTTAGAAGACAAGCAATTATTCTCCTCGAAGGAGGTCCAACAAGCGGCCTAGGCATCGGTATTCACCCCGAGAGTATACCCATGCACACTTTTGCCAGGTTTCTGTTCTTGTCGCTTCTGAGTTGTTATCCTGATTTGGCGTACGAAGTCGGTTTGCGAGCGATGCGATTGCCTTTGCTGGAGGAACACGAAGATTCAGATGACCCTCTTGGGGGCAATAGTAGTTCGTTGATGATGAGGGGTTCGCCAAGGTGGTTTACTTTGGGTCACATCGAAACTCAGCAATGCGCTCTCAGTTCAACAATGCTCAGTGCGGCCAAAGGTGAAGTTATGAGACTGCGAACGGTACTGGAATCTTCCCAGAGGCATATCCACAGTTCTTCCCATTTGTTTAAACTTGCTCAAGACGCGTTTCGGTTTGCGACGCCGGAGAATGGACCGAGACATCCGACGTTGCTGAGTGTGGCCTTTGAGTTGGGTCTTCAGGTAAGTAACAATTGGAAGTACTTGGAAACGATGGTAATTTTTGTGTGTCAGGTTATGAGGATGACTTTGTCGTCTTTAAACTGGCGGCGACGTGAAATGGTGAGATGGCTGGTGACTTGTGCGACAGAAGTGGGAGTCGATGCACTTATCTCAATCATGCAGAATTGGTATCAGTTTTTTACAGCGACTGAAGCCACCGGTCCTGTTGCAACCACAATAATGTCACATAGTACCATTATGCGTCTTAATCTTAGTTTTAGTCAACAAGAAGAATTGTCCAGTTGTGCGAGAACGCTAGCTTTGCAATGTGCAACTAAGGTATGTACTAAATTAATTCACTTGTTCCATTACATAATTTTTTTAAACATTTTAGGACCCTCCAAATTGTGCCTTGAACGCGTTGACGTTGTGCGAGAATGAGGCTCTGGCCTTTGAGACCGCTTACCAAATTGTCGTGGATGCAGCCTCACACATCATGACATCTTCGCAACTCTTTACCATTGCCAGATACATGGAGCATAGGGGCTATCCAACCCGAGCCTATAAGCTAGCCATGTTGGCTATGAAAAACGTTCATCTCGCTTACAATCAGGTAATATGATTTTTTTTTAGTATCTTTTGATCATATACTGATATGCATTTTTTACCGTAGGATACCCATCCAGCAATAAACGACATCCACTGGGCGTGCGCCTTGAGCCATTCGTTGGGCAAAACCGAACTTACAAACATGATCCCTCTTCTCGTTAAAAACGTTCAGTGCGCCACCGTGTTGTCGGACATTCTCCGTCGGTGCAGCATGACCGCTCCGGGCATCTCCTGTTCCCACGCGCCTCCTTTAGAAACCGGAAAACATCATTCGCATCCTCACCGGAGTCGTAGTTGTGCGCCCGGAATCAAGCCGCTGTCGTACGACAGGCCCCCATTGCGGCAGCTATTGGAGGCCGCCGTCGCCGCCTACATCAACACTACGCATTCGCGGCTTACACATATCTCGCCGAGACATTACGGCGATTTCATAGACTTTTTAACGAAAGCCAGAGACACGTTCGTGTTGGCGCACGATGGCCATGCGCAGTTTACGCAACTAATTGAGAACATGAAGGTGGCGTACAAAGGCAAAAAGAAACTCATGTTTCTGGTAAAAGAGAGATTTGGCTGATATAACTTGAAAAAGTGGTACATGTAGTGTGTGCGTTTTTAACGCGGATCGCCACGATGATGTATTATGCCTAGCGGTCTACAAGCGCCTGTACTATATGTAGCTCGCTTCAGTTCTTTTCATAGTCTAATCTAAATGGACAATATTCATGAAATGAGATTTTTTCGGCTATTTATTGACTGTTTATTCCCTCTGAACAGACTGATTTTATTGTTTTATGGGCAACCGGGCCAAACTTCACGCTGGTCACGTGATAATCATAATTATGTGTATATTTTTAGGTAATAAATAAGTAAGAGGTCAGCTTGAACTTTGACGGGTTGCACTGGATCTCATTTGTATTTGTAGTATTATTTTTTTATTTTCATCAGCATTTCTATTTTTATGTTTTAGGGTCTCGTAAATCAAGGTATACATTGGAAGAAAAGGGCGAAACTAGTTTTTCACAATTGTGTGCAGCTTGGCTTTTTTACCGATGTGTACCTTGAATTTTCCAACCCTACGTTTCCTCTGTCCCATGTCGCTTTCTTACTATTTAATGTTATATTTGTTTACCAAAGATTGTTGTTTGTATAGTATTTATGTACATATACCGTAAGAGAGACAGTCTCATTAGTTAATTGGGAAGCATACTTGAGGTGCCGTTTGAACTTCCTCGTGCGCCACCGTTTATTTCACACCTTTCAAGGGATGCTTTCCACAAATACAAGGTAAATGCTTCCTGTTATATTTATATAATACAGTATATCAATAAGTACAAAATAACTCTAAACACGCAGTCGACCAAGCTGTAGCGCGATGTCAGCTGTCATTCCGTAAGCTACCTCTCCGAGCTAAACCTAACATTCAACCGCGCTTTGTTCATGTTTAGTTTTATTTTTCTGGTTGGGTGTTTCAAAATTGACTGATTTATACGAGAAAAATCAAACCGACTCGCTTAGCTCTCCCGTTTTTAATTTGAAGAAGCAATCGATACTTTCAACAATGTTATAAAAATACAAAAATGTAAAGTCGCTGCTGCAACATCTTGTTTTGTTGTTTTTTCGTGTCTGTGATTGAATCTTTTTATTTAATTATTACGTTCGTCCAGTGCCACTAAAATAAGTTATGGAAAACATCGTTAACTTTTTTCTTTTTGTAATAAGGAGATGTAAATATTAACTTGGCCAAATTGGTACACGTTCCATTCCAATGAAAATGATTTTATATAATTCGTTGTTGTATTGTGTTTTTTGTGTATAATAATCATTAGGAAAATGTACATATTGCCAAAAACATTTTAGTTCTTTATTTGTTAAAAAGCAATTATTGCGTTCAGTCTGTCTGTGTATTAATAATTTATGATTATTTTTACGATAATAAAAATATTTGTAATTCATAACGACTTTCAATCTTCTTCAAACCCTGAATAAATAGTTAAAAAATTCCTGGTTTTGAATTAAAGATACAGCTACATTAAAAAAAAAAACGGGAAATGTCAGAAAAATTTAGGTTTTTTTTTTCAATTTTTCCATCGTGTAAACGTGTTTTATTAAAAATAGGTTAAAATATTTTCATGGCACTTTTAATTCTGCCGCTAAATTCATAATTTTCCTACCATTTTCCAGGTGAGCGACGATTCTGGCTTTCTCTACTTCACTTAAATGCGGCTTTACACAAGTCGGTATAAATTTAATGCCATTGATAGAAATATTTTTAATAGTTATTGTCAAGTTGACAATTGACAACTAGAACCGAATTTACATTTGGAAAAATTTCATTTCCCGTTTTTTTTTTAATGTAGCTGTACTTTTTATTATCATTTTTCAAAACCAACGGAGTAACCAAATTTTTAATCCCGAATTTCTGATTCTGATACTCCATCACCCCACGTTTAATTATAAAAAGTAGAAAAGTCTTAATTATTATTTAAACCATATTACCTTTTTGAAAATTGAAACGAAAAATTTAACAATTTTGAGGTTATGTTTGTTGAGGTTATATCACGTGATTAAAAATAGGTGTCATTTTTGTTTCTTGTAGAATGAAGTTTTAACTGTCACTTTTAAATGTTAATTATTTGAAAAAGAGACATTTTAACGTTTTTTAAATATAACTTCTCGTTTACCATTTTTTATGTTTTTAAAGTGACCAATTTTGTGAAAAAGTGAAGTCAACCGCATTATTGGTTACATTTTTTTATACAATTTTAGTAGTGTTTTGGGGCCCTTTTTTAAGTATTATTTCGTAGAAATAGTTTTATGGCTGGGGACATAAATGAACTAATCCGTTTGTTTAAATCTCAAATACAAGAAGATAGTGGAAGATTGGCTGACTTGACAAACGAAGAAGAAGAAAAAATCCATCAGGTTGGCACTTATTAGTTAATTTACTCTAATAAATTGTGATGAAGCAGAAATCAAATGATGTTATGACTGAATTTTGATGAATGAGCAAATTTGCGTTTTCTTGGCAAAATGCCACTAAATAGTAACACAAGCCCCTCTTTACATAATGAAGGTAAATGAGTGTGCAATCGGTTTATTATTGTTACCTTTGTTAGTGTTAATTATCCATTTGTAACTTGTCGTAAACATAGTAAATGTGATGGTCCAACAAAGACACCACAAGAACAAATTAAATGTTTCTTTATTGAAACCGCCTATCATTCCAATAGCGTGATATAGATAGCAGTTTCCTGAAAAAGGGAGCGTCTATTTTCTGACCTTGTTTATTATTGATTTTCTTGAAAATCCAACATGACAGGGTGAAATGTGGTTGGTGGTGATGTCTATTATTTGACCCTCACATCTCTAAGACTCTGTTCCTCCCAACTTAGTTTGTGATTGTTATTTATAAGTTTTAAAAATGATGTGCATGTTCATTTTCATCTTTGAAATTCATTGAAAAAATTGTTCTGGGACATGTCATTGCACGCCTTTTTTCGGCAAATTTCAGATCAAAACTTGTGATAATGAACACCAACAGAACAATAATGTACCATCACCCGAAAACAAGGAAAACCTGCCATTGAACCACAACTCATCACCCGTTAACCAAGTGAGTATCGCTGAATTTCCCGAGGTTGTAGTTTTTGTGGCTTGATTTGGGAAAGGCTTCGTTTTATTTTTCGTTTTAGAACCTGCCGCTAATCGAACGACTTGATTTAAGTAGTAATGAAGGCGCGTTAGAGGAGACTAAGCGAGCTTTTGTCGCTATCAGCCCGGTAAGCATGAGTGCCGTTTAATTTGCAACGTTATGCATGAGCAATCGTCTTGCGTGGGGCGCTCCTTTTATGTCTTATTGCGTTTTTTCAGAATGCCAGCGGCGGCCGCAAAATGTTGCGGTACGGCGAGTACAGCCCCAACAACCCCCAACTGAGGGTGTCGGCTGCTCCCTATCTCGGGCTCGGCGAGTATGAGCAGAGGCGCAACTTGCTCCAGGAAAGACGAAGGGCTGATTATCTCGAACATTTATCTAAGGTAAATCACTCCCGCTGCTCTCGCTTTCCCGCCATGTCATCTCAACCCCTGTGTTACAGAGCGAACGTAATTTTAAAAATTGTCTTTTGACCGGAAACGTGGTGACGCGAGCCGTGCAAACCGACTTACAGAATATTCATTGCCCTTTAGTAAGTTGTGAACGCTTTTTTGCTATTCTGACGTAGTGTACATATTTGGGGGGCGGCATGTTTGACGGGGCTTCTTTACACAGGTCATCAACTGGGGTTAACCCCCTCATAAATTTGCCACCTATTTTTCTCAACACACATCCGAAATCTCGCTAAATGAATTATAAACTTAAAAAAATACTTCATAATACCTATAAGTCTAATTAATCCATTAAGTCTATTCCGCAATTTGTTACGAGATATAAACTGATATACAACTGCATCTAAAATTCAATTTTATTACTTTGGATAAATTTGGATATGGTTTAGTATTATTGCCAGTAATGTGGTCGGTCATTTGTGTTAATAAATTAATTCTTTTTTTCATAAAAATTATGAATGTATTCATTTTTTTAACCAGCTATTTATCAGTTAATAAAGACTGAAACGCAATTAATTATTTAGTGAGATTATTATTAATAATTTAAAAAGTAAGAAAAAGAAGAATGTTGAAATAGGGTGGAAAATATTATTCTCTATACTTTCCTTGCGTGATTCGTTATAATTACATGCAATTTTAGCATAATTGGGTTATTAGTGTCTAAGATACTACAGAAAAAGTAAGTCAATTATGAGAAAAATTGCTTTTCGTGGTGTTCTACATAATAAGAATTGTGTTTTTTTGTGATTTTATTATCGTGTCTACAAACTCGTACGTTTGTTGTATTGTTTTATTGGTTATTTATTTAGAACTTTAAGGTCTTTCAAATTGGATTTTTCTCTTATATTCACAGTGTAGTTTAATTTTCGAAATTTTCACCGTCCTTCGTTTAATTTTAATTGATCAAAATTGAATGTTCAAAATCTCTTCTGGCTTTGGAAACCAAATGCTACTTATAATTGTCATTATTTGTTAAAATCAATTTATAAAATTGTGAATATAATTTTGATCTGTCAATTATAATTAATTGTACTTTTTTAGAAAAAATGAGAATTTGGTTTTATCAGATCCAGTATTTAGCAACTTTATAAGACCTAATTCACGTCAAGGTAAAATACTAAAAATGTAATGGGGAGCATCGTATTTTTTCTGTTTGTATTGATATTAACATCAATAACAAAGTCCAATTCAAGAATATTTATTTTGTAAACAGTAAATAACATTCGGGAGGTGGTTAACCCCTAATTAATTATTTTTAAATGGGGGAGGAGGTTTGTCAACAATAACCAGAACTCGCATTTGTACATACAAATAATTGTGCTTTGCATTATGTTGAATGTGTACAGTAGATAAAATAAGGGTCATAACAATGTCACAACCAATGATTATCTGTCCCTTTCACTTGACTTTCAATTGTTTTAGGTACAGTATGAGACCTACACACCGGAAAAGGAGCTAAATTCGTACATTTCGAGCTCTGTTATGCAAAACAGTCGGAATCTATCACCGTACCGCGCCGACCAAAGATTAACTTCTCAAAATGCCTTATTGAAGCCTGAAATGGACAAGCCGAAGAGCATTCTGTCGAATAGGCGGACGGGCAGTCCTAGAGGTAAACATCTCACAATTGCACCGAATTCGGACCAATAAAGTCGTTTTATTGCAGAGCGACTGCTGTCTGATCTGAAACATTCGTATTCGCCCAGTTTTCTCGACGGGTTCAGTTATCAGGACCGGGCGGAAGAACTGGAGAGGGTAAGTGAGGGAAAAATTCAAGGGCGATTAAGTGGCAATTTGCTTTAAAGGAAAGGATTAAACGTGACAATTATCAAAGGGAGTTGAGACTGCAGATCGAGGAGAAAAGACACTTGCAAGCGATGAGGGAGGAACAGGAAAGGAGGGAGCAAGAGTTGGAGAATAAGCGGTTGGAGCAACAGCTGTTGCGGATGCAGGAGGAACAAGCGATCGAAGAACAACGCAGGTGTCGCCGAGATGAACAGGTGCAGCATTAAATAGAAAATTACCGAATTGTGTTACCATTTTTTTTGTTCTATAATTTGTATTCATTTTGTTTTCATTAATAATTAATTATTTTGTGACGTTTTATTTATTTTATTTATATATTTATTTTTGTGTTATATTGGAGGTAAGTATTAATCAAGGAGTAGGTTATTTGTTAGTTTGTGTTTTTGTTTTTAGTATTTTTTTAGGCGTAGGGGATACTAAACGTGTTTTGGTTGGCAGATGCGTCGGCACAGCGAGGACCTTTTGAGGAGGAAGCACGAGTTGCAATCCCGCTTGCGTAAACACACCGAGTCTGAAAGTAGCGTGTCAAGTCTTCGAAACACCAACGTTGCCTCAAAAACTCTATCGCATTATTCTCCACCCGTGTCTCGCCGCAATCCTTACTCCTTCAACATACCATCCACTTCTGTGTTCGCCGATATGTCGAGTGGCAGCAGCAGCAGGTATAATCCGAACCGATTCGATTCGTATTATCGCAAAGACGCGTTGAACAGGATGGACTCGTTAAATACATATGACACTCATCGTAGATATAATGCTTTCAGTCGTTTTGACTCGTTGAGTAGAATAGATTCGTTAAATCGCCAAGATACGTTGAATAGACTAGAGACGTTGAGTATTCAAGATAGATTAAGTAATGTACAACGTAGGCACAGTGCCACACAGCAGGACCTCAGTTTGATCCGGCGAAGCCCTAAGCTGCAAAGAAGGAGCAGCTCGAGCAGATTCGAGGACACTCTTCCCATACCAGTATTGAAAGCGCACTCGCCCGTTGCCAAAGAACTAAAGAATTCGGTACCTTTTAATTCCAGTAGGTCAGATGCAGTTAGAAAATTAGAAGATAAGTGGCAGGTTAGTCGATTTAAACACAAGTGATTGTGTTGTAAGTCTCGAGAGTATTATAGATTCCTGCGGTGCAAAAAAATATCGTCAACCATGGAGATCCCTTACGGGACGGCCAGGGAAGAAGTATATTAACTCAGTTAGGTGCCATCAGAATGCAGCTTCAAAAAGAACAATTACGAATGGATGAAACCTTACGTAAACGCGGTATTACACAATCCAAGGCTGTTGATTTTCATTAAAATTAATACGTTTTACATCGAGTTGAAAATTGAATCATAGTTATTTTATATATTGTTAGAACTTGTCTTTATATTTATAATTGAAATAGAGTAGAAACGTTGACGATGACTGAAAACTGGTTTTAATTCAAACCTGAGCCCCCCATCCTATTTTAAATTACCCACTGCACAAGTCGTACGTGATTGGCCACAAACCAAAATTACCGTTACAATATGAAGTTGGCCGATAACCGTCACCAATCAGATTCATTATTTTGTTTTCAAACCGTTTGACAAGTGCCGGGTGAACAATTTTAAAACGTGCAACGGTTCATTACGAAATTTTTGTAAGAATGGATAATAAAAAGTGGAACACCGTTTTAATTGAATGGGTAAGTCATCTATTATTGAAAAAACAGTTGAGCCAAATTCCCCAATTTCTAGGTTAACTGTTTGAAACTTTGCAAAAACATCAACAAACTTGACGAGTTACGCGATGGCGAATTTTTCTCAAATTTACAAAAAGTCATGTAAGTTACCATTATATTAATTACCTAATTATTTAACTTATTATCTGTAGATCTAAATCTCGAGATGCACAAGTTGCACAAGATGTTTTAACGTTCATTTTTGATCTCTTTGGAAGGCACTATCCCAACTATTTATTCCACAATAAGACCGAAATTCATTTATTTGATTTACCCGAAATCGATTTGAAAGCGATCATTTCGCTCCTCATGCACTACACATGCATTTATGACCGAAGAGACGTCTTGACGTCCCCCTTGTGTCACTCCCTCTCACAGTCAACACAATTAATAATCCGCAATTTCCTCCAAAAAACCACAACAAGCGTTAATAAAGAAAGCATGAGCGACATTATTAAGTCATGTATTGATGACGCTTCCGATCATTTAATAACCAATCAGTGGTTGTCAGTTGAAACGTCATGTAGCTCAAACAGCCCCCTTCAGGACATCCTAAAAACCCCCATATCAAAATTTGGTCGTTTACACGAAAAAGACAAAATTATTTCCAAACTAAAATCAGAAATTGAAGCAGAACGCTATGAAAAAGCCGACTTACAAGAAGAACTTAAATTACAATTGGAAAAAAGCAAAAAAATCGAACAACAATTGCAACAAAAAAACAACGAAATTTCGAGACTGAGGGCCGAAGTTGGGGCCCTCGAAAATCGCACTCCGCCCAATTTCCAGGACATGGACAGTCGCGAACTGCAACGACGTCTGCGTTCCGAAATTCAAACCCTCGAGCAATATATTAAACAAATCGAGGACGAACAGGACGAAATCAAGAAGGAAAAAGACGCCACGAAGGAGCGTCTCCGGAAAATTGAGCAACAAGCCAACATTTGGGAGGAGAAATTTTTTGAAACAGAGCGCAATTTCGAAAATTTGACAGAACATTCAAAACAGCAGGAGAAGGAGTTGAGGGAGATGCAGGCTCATTGTGCCGAACTTACGGCTTTGTTGGAGGAGTATCGCGAGAATCCGAAAAACGATAGTTCATTGTTTGAGTTTTCAACAGAGAAGCCTTTAAATGAAACGGAGTTGTGTCCTGAAGATCTCGCTTGTTCCGTCATTGAGGTGCAGTTGAGGGATGCTCAAAAGCAAATTGAAGAATTGAAGAAGCAGATTGGAGAAACGGAGGAGTGTGTGACGCAATTGAGGAATGTTTTGCTTGAAACTGAAACAAAGCTGAAACATTCTGAGGATCTTAACACTGAGTTTGAGACCAAGGTACTTATAAAAATACGTGCATTGATTATTTCATAATATCTAACAAAAAAACTTTGAGTATAATCTAATCGAAAAATATTTTTAAGGTTTGTATAAAAATATTTAATTATTATTGGACTTGTTTTTCTTTTGTCACATCTACAAATTATTTTTCTTCAGGTAAAATCACTAGAAAACGATAAAGAAACAGCTCAAACACAATTAACATTAACTCAGTCTCTTTTGGATGAAGCAAATAAAAATAGTAATGTTTTGGAAACGAAAGTTAAGAACGTCGAAACTAAACTGCAAGAAACTGATGAAGTGTTAGAAACTCTCAGAGGTGATAAAGAAGAATTACTCGCAGAAGTAATATTTTTATAACTTTTTATTTTCTACTTTACTAAAATTTAATATTTTTGAAGGTTAATTCTCTGCAACTTCACATTGCGCAAGTGGAAAAACAGCTAGCAGAAGCTTTGGACGAATTAGAGGATAATAAAAAGCAGTCTCAATCCCTTGAAAATCAACTTACAGAATCTAAAGCTGTATCTGAGAAACTCCAATTTGAGCTGGCCGATGTCCTCTTAGACAACCAAAAAACGCATACGATTTTAAACGAATTGTACAACGAAAAGAACGAATTGGTTTCGAAATTGGACGAGGCGGAAAATACTAAAACATCACTTGAAAAACACTTGTTCGAGTTTCAAGACTACTCGAAGAATCTTGCATCAGAATGTGAAACTCTTCGTGTGGAAAATCTTGCCTTTAAACAGGAACTTTCTAATAAAAATACACAGTTGTTGATTGTGAGTCAGGAGAAATCTGATTTGACTATAAAGCTTGAGTACAAAGATGAGAAAATTGTTGATTTGGAAAAAACTAACGAAAAGTTAAATTCTGAGATGGATATTCTTCAAAATCAATTGAAGGAAACATTGGATCGTTTAGATTCGAGTCAGAGCTATTCGCAAAAGCTTCAATTTGACTATAGTGAGCTTGAAAAGAAACTGCATGACACTAAGACACATTTGGAGAATTTAACAGTTGAAGTTAATATGGTATTAGGAGAGAAACAAGCGGTGGATGAACAGTTGGTCAAACGTGAAGATTACATCACGCGATTAGAAGAAGAAAAGAACATTTTGTATGAAAAAACAAACGTATTGGAGGATTCATATCGGAAGTTAACGCAAAAGAGTGAAGAACTACAATCGTATAATGAAGACGTTTTGAAACAACTTTCGGACGTTTCGCAGACTCTTGAAATGACTAAACAAGAAATAGGAAGATTGCAAGAACTGCAAAAGTCTCTCGAATTGCAACTTGAAAAATCTCAAATTTGTTCAGAAACTTTAAAAGTTGAGCTGGAACAAATGCAATCAGTAAATAACAAAACAAATTACTTATTACAAGAAACTGAAGCCGCATTAGATCAATCGAAACAAGAGAATAAGATTTTAAAAATACAGATTGAAACTCTACAACAAGAACTTGACGATTCAAATAATAATTTAATAGTGAGTCAGAAAAATGTTTCTGAGTTGAAAGAAACTAAAAGTGGACTTGAGGAAGATTTGAAACAAGTTGTATTAGAGTCGGAATACTTAAAATCCGAATCGGAAAAGATTAAGCTTGAAAAGTCTACGAACGATAAGGAATTAAATGAGGTTAAGAAAGCATTAACCGAATTAGAGGAGGAGTCAAAGAAGAAGAAACATCAATTTGAGAATGAGATTGTTGAAGTTCAAAAACATCTCAATGACGCTCTTACTAGTTTAGAAACAGTCAGGAAAGAGGAAGAGAAACTTAAAAATTCAAAGAATCATCTTGAATCGAAATTAAGAGAAGCACAAACTGTTGAAGAAAAATTAAAACTAGAAGTGGAAAAGCTAACTAACGATTTGAGTGAATCTCGTGAAGAAAGGTCGGATTTCTTGAAAAAACTTGAGAATTTAGAAGAAGAAAATGGAAAATTGATCAAAGAATCTCAAGACCTACAGAAACATTTAAGTCAGGCTTTAATTGATTTGGAGTCAAAAACTGCCGAGTCGAAACAATTGAATGACATTCAAATCGCGCTTGAAACTCGTTTGGACGAGGCAGAAAAGATAAGACTTCAGCTAGAAACCATTCAATCTCACCTTGATGAAACACAAAATAGTTACGAAGAACTGAAGAAAGAGAAGTCCCTTTTGGAAAGTGAATATAAAAATATGAGACAACTCACGAATGAGTTTGAAGGAAAACTAAATGAAGATCAAGATTATATAAAAGCGTTGGAAATGAAGAATGAAGACATTGATAAACAGTTGGAAGATACTAAAAAGGTCGTCATAAAATTAGAAGGAGAAAATGGTGCCTTAATGGTAAAAATGCGAATTCTTGAACAGGAAAAAGAAGAATTATGCGATGAAAAGAAGGGTCTTGAAAGAGAACTGTTTGATGAGAAGAGCAATTTCGAAGAAATGAAAACTGTCACTTTAAATCTACAAACAAATTTGGAAGATTTACATATTTTAGTGGAGACAGTTCGGTCGGAGAAAGAAAAACTAAATGAGGTTTTGATGAATGAAAGAAATGAAAATGAAGCCTTGGTCACAAAACTAAATGAAAAATGTGAACTTCTTGAAGATAAATTAACTGATTATGTCGACGATTTAGAAACTAGCAACAAAGAATTAGAAAGAGTAAAAGAGGAGAAATCTTTGATTGAAATAGCCTTGGAAAATCTTAGATGTGAAGTACAGTCTGCTGAAAAATTTCAGAAGGTGCTAAAAAATGAAAAAGAGGCACTAGAGACGGCATTACAACAAGTGGGAGTACAGTTGAACGAATTAAAGAATAAAAATGAAATCTTACAGAGGGAAATTTTAGAAAAAACGGATGCTTTTGAAATAAATCAAGAATCTTTTACGAAAGAAAAAGAGAAACTTGAGTTAGAAGTTGAGAAACTTTCAAAAACTAATAAAGATATTCAAAATCAATTATTTGTCTTGGAAAGGAACTACAAGGAGTCGAGGAATGACAAAGAAATTCTTGATAAACAGTTAAATGAAATGGGTGTTTTGTCTGAGACTTTGAAAGCAGAATCTGAAAACCTCCGAATTCAGTATCAAAAGTCGAAAATAGAATTGGAAGAAACTGGAGCTATGTTGATGAAAGCAACTTCGGAAAAAGAAAACTTATTTAGGCTTTTGCAGCATGCCAAAGAACAGAACGGAGAATTCGAAAGACAAATTTCTGTAATGAACAACACTTTGGAATTGAAAGAAAATGAATGCAATGAACTAAAGGATGCAATCAAGAAGTTGGTTAATGAAAAGGATGATCTCTTTTCAGTGAATGAATCTTTGCAAAAGCGTATCACCGAAATTGAAGACGAAAATAAGGAAAAAGAGATTAAAGAAAGGAAAGAAAGCGAACAATTCCGTGAAGAATTGAAACGAATATCTGAAGAAAAACTTCTTCTAAAAAATAAACTCGAAGATGATGAAGTTATGTCTTTGGAGAACCAAAAGAAAATAAAATCGTTAGAGGAAACTATTCAAGATTATGAAATTACAATTTCTGGTTTGAAAAATGTCGTTGATACGAATTTGGAAAGTTTGGAGACTTTGAAAGAGGAACTTGCTGATGGAAAAATTAAAGAATCAGAGATTATGACAAAGATTTATGAGTTGTTGAAAACTAATAACCTTAATGGTGACAAAGCTGTACAAGGTGATTTTAAAACATTCATTTTTGAAAATTTCAAAAAGTTATTATTTGCCAAACATCAAGAAGAACAGCGACGAAAAGACCTAAAAGTCGAAATTGAAGAACTGAAAGCTAAAAATATGGCAGCGACAAAACTGAATACGAATTTCCAAGAGATGGTGGAAAAATTGCAAGCTTTAGTAATGGAACAAAGCGAAGTTGTAACAATGGATGCTTTAAAATTGAGTTTTGATCAGATTCACTCCAAAGTTAACAGTGTTTTGAATGTGAAACAGAAATTGTCGGAAGATTTAAATAAACTCACAAATGATAATTCTGAATTAAGTCGAAAACTAGACGGCGTGTTGTCAGAAAAGGAAGAAATTTTCAAATTAAAAGCTGTGCTAGAAAAGGAGTTACAGGAAGAAAAAGAGAAAGTCGAAAATTTGCGCAAAGAATTAGAAAGTAAATCACAACCGATTAAAGTCGAAAAGGAAAATATCTTAGGAGTGTCGAGGAAAGGAAATAAGTCAAGGGAAGACGAACTCAAGAAAGAAAACATGATGTTGAAACGTAAACTTGTTTTGGCCGAAAATGCCAAAAATAACTTGGAAAAAGTTCTAAAGGAGTTACGTGAGGAAAAGAAGAAAGTACGTGAGGTACCATCTTCACCAACTGGCGATGCTCTTTACAAGAAGCTTCTTCACGAATACATTCAAGTCAAAGAAGATAATGAGCGGGTGGTGAAAGAAAAAGACGCGAAAATTGAAGAACTGATTCGTAGAAATGAAGAATTGATTATAAAGGGGGTTCCTATTAGACAGGAAGGTGACGAAAACAAGAACCAAGAACTTCAACACATTCGAGAGGCTTACGGTAATGTGATGAGTGTTAACTCAAAACTCGAAATGGAAATTGTTACTCTAAGAAAAATAATCGAAGAACGTAATAATGAATTGGCAAGTTTCAGTCACATTAAAGAAGCTTATGAGAAACTGCTTGAGGACAATAACAAACTTATGACCGAAATCGATACAATGAAATACAAGAGAACGAGAGATAAGGAAGAATTTGTTCGGTTAATAAAGAAAGAACGCGACGAAAATTCGAATCGCGAAACTAAAAAAATTCAAGACATCCGAAACGAATACGAAGGTAAATTGGAGAAGATGAAAGACAAAATGTTGAAGTTGTACAGAGAGGAAGTAAATAAGAAAGTTCGCTCGGTTAAAGACGGCCAAGGCGAAACTGCAACTATGATGAAAACAATCGCTAATTTGAGATCGGAGCTGTTCGAAGCCGATCAGAAAATTCAATTACTTGAAATGGAGAAAGAAATTTGGAAAATGAACAGAAAAATCGACAATGAGGCGAAAACGAAGGAACTGCAGCAATCCGTTTCAAATATTGTCACCACAGTGACTAGAACTAATGAAAGAGCTTCGACATTACCACGACCGTCAATCACTCAAGAAATCACGATTTCCAGACGAACATCTGTTAGTGGAATCCCGAATAATTTACAAATGGAAGATGAGGAAGATTTATTCAACGATAAGTATCTAACCGACTTGAAGGAAGGCAAATGTGTTTTACCATCGAGTCGTGAATCCACTAATCGCTTCTCTGAACTGGCATGGAGAAACTCTTTAGTGCCTCCACATTTGAAGTCGTCGTATCCGGCCGAAATGCAGTTTGTCAGTCCGAATCGATTCAAAGATGATGATATCAAGGTTTGTTTTTGGTGTCTCAAAGTGGTGGCTCTAATGTTGTTTTGCAGACTGGTAATATTGAATTTGAGGACAGTTTGTGTAAGTTATTGCCCGGTGAGAAACCCCGTAAGAAGGATTTTGGGACTACGACGTACAAAAAGCCGGGACCGCCGACTCCTAGTAAGAATGGGGGTCGGTTGTCTTTGCAAGGGAACGAAGTGCATCCGTCACGGGAACCTGATGGGAAGACACCCAAGAGGTCGACGCCTAGCAGGATTAAAGCGTTGTTTACAGGACGGAATAATAGCGCAAGAGACACAGGAGAGGTATAAATCAGGATGAAACAAATTAATTAACAATACATGATGTTCTTTATCTTCATAATCGTAGTGATAAATAACCATTTTAAAATATAAAGTAAAAAAAAACTAAAATAAAATAGGTCAAAAAAGTGGAAATCATCAGTTGATTTTTAGCGAGTAATCGGATGAAGTAGGTTTTTCTGTATAACTCTGTATAAACAGAACAACTTGAAGTCGCTAAAAATAATTTGGCGGTGTTTTCTACTTTATAGAATGGAAAAAATGAAATATTTATACAAAACAATAGGTTATTGAAAATTATCTAAAGCATTTTTTCAAGTACAGTCGCGTACAATATATTTTGGTCGACAATGTCATAGAAAAATTATTCTTTTACATCAAAAATTTTTCAATCTACCTTTTTGTCTGTACTTGAATAACTTTTGATAATATCGGTTCTAACAATACTTATCATTCCTTTTAAACGTGTATCTTTGTTTCCATGGAGCTTTCGTATTTGCAATGAATTTCAAACTTAAACCCAATGATTTTTTAAACATTTAAAATATTACGTTTTTTATAATTGCTTGAAAATCGCCTTCTTTCTTTTTTCCAGAGCCAGAGTGTGACACCTAGTCGAGGCAGACGCCTGAATAGTATTTTCCGAAGACCCAAATAATTTTTAAAAGTGCCGTATGTTGTTTTTGTACTATTACCGTTTTACGAGAGATGTGATTTTATAAATTCTATTATGAAAATTTGAATACAATATTTTTTTCATCTCATTGTAATTTGTGTGTAAAGCGCAGCCGTATTTGTCAATCCCCTGATAATCCCTCAGTTTACACTGATACCATCACAACCAATCGAAAAACCCTTCTATGGCATGTCAATAACTTGTCATTTCAAAAGAATATAAAAATTAGGCATGGCATCTGCAAGTAGTACAAGTGCAAGATCATTATTTGCGGATTCCAAAATGCGATTAGCCGACCGAGTGCAAGTCAATGTAAACAACATTTCGTCTCTTGCCAGACAAATCACCCGGGGATCGAAAAGTAGCGAGGTGGGTGCCCTTAACACACTTCCCCGGCCTTGCCTTCAACCGAAATGTTGCAGATTTTAATGCATTCAGCTCGCAATTTCGCGGTTCAAGAACATTTGATGGAAAATAGCGAAAGTAATTTGAAAAAAATGCAACTCATCTGTGTCCACCTTGGGTACCAGCAGGACTCTATGCTCAAATCAGCCCAACAAATCGAAGAAGTGAAAGAACAAGTGTGTGCCATGCAGCGATAAAGTTAATCAATTTATTTAATAATCACTAATTTATCACGTGCGGTGATAATAAATTTGGGACTGCGTAGTTGGCAACCCCTGCAAACTGACTTAACCTTACTTCACCTTGTTTTTAAAGTGACGTTTCAAAGAATTGAAATATGATAGCAAGTACTTGTACGAACTCGCTGTTTATAGTTGTTTGAGGTGAGAAGTTTTATTTATTTCCATTGAAAATATAAAATTGGACATAATTTTAGATTAATCGCACACAATGTTGTTTCTAAGTCGCCACTTAAAATTTTGCTTGAGGCTTCCAAGACTAACGCAAATTCGTCTGCAACAAACTAAACCCAAATTGTCGGTATCGGGAGACGTAATTCCAATATTCAGCAATGCCCATCTCTTCCCAGAGAAAGTCGCCCTTCGCGACTCTGTTGGTAGATACACTTATGGTAGCTTATTCATAAGTGCAAAGGAATTAGCTAATACCATTACACAAAAAGTTGATGGTAAAACAAACCAACGGGTGATGTTCCTGTGTTCCCAAGATGCGGACTATGTGGTTACATTATGGTCAATTTGGATGTCTGGTCAAATTGGTATGTAAACACCCATTTTAGAGACATTTTCACAACCATTATTTTCCAGCGGTGCCTCTAAGTCCCAAACACCCCAAAAACATTCTCCTGTATTACGCCAATGACACTAATGCAAGTCTCCTAATAACCACAAGCCAATACGTTGATTTGATGCAAAGAGTAGCTAAAAATACAAACACTAAACTGCACGTCCTTGACGACAAATTAAAATTAAACACAGCCGAAAAAGTCGTAACAAAGAAAACTGACTTGGAGGCCCCTTTGTCTCTCAGTTTTTACAGTACAAGCAATGCTCTTATTTTGTACACAAGTGGGACCACTGGCAACCCTAAAGGAGTTGTCCTCACGCATAAAAACATCATTTTTCAAGTAAATACTCTCCTGGAAGCGTGGAAATGGAATCCGAACGACGTTATCCTCCATACTCTGCCTTTACATCACGTTCATGGTATTGTAAACGCTTTACTTTGTCCCCTGTATATAGGGGCAAAAACAATCATGTTACCGAAATTTGATGCAAATGCGGTTTGGGCGCATTTATTAGGGGTTAGCCCTCTACAGGGCGATCGCAGGATTACTGTCTACATGGCCGTACCAACAATTTATACAAAACTAATCGAGGAGTACAAACGCGTATTTAGTTCAGACCCGAAAATGGTCGAACACATTAAGAACATTCTGAAAAACAAAGTCCGGTTGATGGTGAGTGGTTCGGCCCCACTTCCGGTTCCGGTTTATCAACAGTGGTTCGATATTTCCGGTCATAAGCTTTTGGAGAGGTATGGCATGACTGAAACAGGGATGAGTCTTTCAAATTTGTACGATTCGGATCGAGAGCCGGGTTTTGTGGGGCTGCCTTTACCCGGAGTATCAGTCAGACTAGTCGACGAAGATTCGAAACAAGAGACTGTCGCCGCCCTCGAAATGACCAATTCCAATGGAGAAATTTCGTGTGAGATGGACAATAAGCGGGTGGTGAGTGGGGAAATAAAAGGGGAGTTGTTGGTAAAGAGTGACGGCGTTTTTCGCGAATATTACAACCGACCAGAAGCGACGAAAAAGGAGTTTACGCAAGACGGTTGGTTTAAGACTGGTGATGTGTCCTCTTATTCGATCAGCAAGAACAAATTTAAAATTCTCGGCAGGAAAAGTGCCGATATTATTAAATCTGGGGGCTATAAACTCAGTGCAATCGAAATTGAGACTGCGTTATTAGGACATCCCGATATCAAAGACTGCGTAGTTGTAGGAGTGGAAGATAAGGAATGGGGACAAAGGGTGGCAGCGATTGTGGTTTTACATGAAGGTAAAAGTCTCACTTTGGAGGACTTGAGGAGTTGGGGGGTCGAGAAGTTGGCCAAATATGCTTTGCCGTCAGTTTTAAAGATTGTTAATGAGATTCCTAAAAATGCCATGGGGAAGGTCAATAAGAAACAGTTGATTGATAAACTATTTTTAGGAAGTGAATGATGAAAAGACTGATTTTTAATGTCTAGCGGTTGAGTATTATACTTTTTATGGTATTATTTCTTATTGCATATTGTTGATGTACTAATTATGTTTTATTAATAAATATTGATATTCAGACATATCGAAATATTCTATAAATAATTATTGATAAAGCGCAAAGATAAACATGCACGTAGTACATATTTATGGATATGTTATAACTGCCGACAAAAATCAAAATCATGGCAGTCATTCATATTTTATAGTTATAAATAAAAATCTATAATCAGTATAAATAATTTATAACCAAGGTGAATAGACAATCCATCTGTAATCGTCTTTAGGACTTTTTGTGCATTCGTACTAATGCATGTTATATCAAATGAGACAAATCTAAGAGAGACAGAAGCTGGATGACAGCTGGTTGAAACCAATGAAACGTCAAACTACCTGAGACAAATTTTTCCTTCACATATTGCCGCAAGTTTGTAAACAGCAAATTAGTGACTGATTAAAGGTGATTCGCGTCTAGTTTATAATGCAGAGAGTGTCCTCGGCAGCAATGAAAAATCCATGGCTAAACCAGCGTTTTAAATAATTAGAAACTTGTGATACCCGTACAAGGCTTTCCGAGGGGAGATTTGGCAGTAATTGTAAGTTAAACAGGTAAAATATTTAATAACACAGATGTTGAACTTATCATAGAACAAACATGATGATAAGTGATCATGTTATAAATTCTGTTTCAATAAAGAAATGAACACGTAATAAACACCTGCTCCGTTAGCTAACCTATGGGAGTATTGATTACATTTCGCGAGATTTTAAATATTTATAGATATCTATTATTACTTTACCAAAAAAATTTTTAATGAATTGAAGGTGATGGGCGTGAATAACAGTAAGAAATTGGCAGCAAAGTGTTCTTTTTTGTCCAAAGATGAACAACATATTGTTAGCAATTCATTTCGGCTTGCAAGCAAAAACTCGGAAAAAATCAAGGAAGAGGAACTTACGGTGAGTTTGACTGTCTCATAAACAAAACCACAAATAATTGAGTTAATTTTAGAAATTATGGGGCTCGCAAATGGACTCCCGCCTTCTACAGTACATAAACAATTACTTATTTGGAATTGGAGAATCACGCACACAAACTGTTGAACTTGAACGCTTTGCTGAACTTTTCGTTTTTTGTACGAGAGGCACCGTTGAGGAAAAGTTGAAAGTTCTTATAATATCCCTTGGACGCAGCGATTCTGAATTCAATGAGCTCCCTTACATTCTTGTTAAAGAAGTGTGTCACACATTTATTACTTTGAACGTCACGCTTATCATTTCCGTTTTAGTACGTGGAAAGTATTGTCGCTTCATACATGAAAATTCAAAAACTGAGCAACACAAAACAGTTCAAATCATGGTTTTCTCGCGGTTGTTTCACCTCAGCCCAAAACATTCAAAGACTGGCAGAAAGTCTCAGTCACGACTTAGCATCAACTGACAGCATAACGCGACGTGCGCTGGAAGTATGGTTACAGGGTTCAACAGTGCTTGGTCAATTGCTTCTTTTCGTTTTTATGCATTTATATAACATTTCTCATAAAGATAAGGCTCAAGTTTCCGGCGAGAAAAGCGCCATTGAAGAACCGCACACGTCGAGTGAGAAGGAAAAAGATAGGAGTTTAGTGCCATTTTGCCGTGGCCTCGATCTCATTCCCTCATATCCAAGTTTGCTAGATTTAAATCAGATAGTTTTTATTAACGCGAATTTACCGCAACAGTATCAATTAGAGTGGCGGTTTTTGTTTAGTTCCGAAATACACGGCGAGTCGTTTTCTACGCTCATAGGTCACAGAAATTGCTTTTTATGCAACTTATTTTACTAATCAAGTCGTTGCAGGTAGGATAGTTAATCAGGGACCGTCAGTATTGGTAGTTGAAGACAGAAATGGGTACATGTTTGGTGGTTTTGCCCCTGCGAACTGGTCATTGGGCCCCAATTTTTTCGGGGATGACAGTAGCTTTTTGTTCACACTCGCACCGCGCATGAGGATTTTTCCATCTACAGGGTACAATCAGCACTTCCAATATCTCAATTTGCACCAACAAACTATGCCAAACGGTTTGGTAAGTAAAAACTGATAACCAAAATAATACACTTGTTAAATAATGCCGCTGCAGGCTATGGGAGGGCAGCACAACTACTACGGTCTGTGGATAGACAGCGAATACGGCAAAGGTCACTCCTCTGAATCTTGCACCACGTATTCGGGTTATTCGCAACTGGCCTCTGGGAAAGAGTTTACGTTTCGACACTTGGAAGTCTGGGGCTTGGGAGCCCCGCCCCCCACTCCTCAAGAAAAAGGCGAGCGGTCGAGCTCTACTAGCGTTTTGGACGGCAACGTCGAGACTAAAGCGATGTTGAAGATGGCAGGACGCACAATACATAGTGAAGGTTTAAGAGATGCACCTCCGAATAATTAAAACAGGTTGGTTTTATTTTGCTGAAATGCCTTAAACGGTTCTTTTGTAATCTTTACACTAAGATGACAAGTGTTTATCCCTAGAAGTATTTTTATATGTGCCGTTGATTCAAGCTCCAAACTATGTGAAAGTTTCGCTTTTATTACACCAACTTCTATCACGTTAAGTTTAAGTCTGGGTTGTCAGTAGCACCGTAATGCGTACTTGTGTGATAACGTTTTACAATTTTTCCTATTTTTTAATTATAAGAAAAGATGTGCCAAAGATTTGGTTACACACTTATAGTGAGCTTCACTTACTTTCAAATTTATTTATTTTTTCGTTTTAATTGTTACGACTATAGATAGTTTATATATTTGTTATTTATGTGTCGTATATGTGATCTATTAATTTTTAAGTGATGTACAGTAACAATTTGTCAAATTAAACAAAATCCAATACATAACATAACTGGAAGTTTTATTTTTACATCAACTAATCCTCAAGAACAATCAACAAGATTTTAGATTGCACTTAAATAATACAGACATCTCACTACAGTTGTTTCAGCCCGATACAAACACTCAAGGCCGTTTGGTGGCCAATGTTCGTACAGCTCTGAATTCTATAAACATAGAATAAATATTCTTAAATGCCATCGAAATACAATAATTTTACAATTTATGCCCAGACCTGTAATAAAAATGCTTACTACCGCCCCTTTTATTGGGCCCTACGTACCCTAAGAGTATAGTCCCAAGAACCTGTAGAGAGAGCAGTGCCATCTGGCGATACTTGCAAACACGATACCCGATTTTCGTGCCCGTACAACAAACACACTCTTACACATTTAAGAGTATCCCAAACATTGACAGTATAGTCATTATACCCAGCGAATAAGAGGCGACCTAAACAAAACAAATAACAATAAAAGAAAAGAGTAGAGTTGTCAGCCTGACCTGAAACGGAAAAATCGACCGAATTCACCCCGAAAATAATACTTTCCTTGCTGTAAACTGCTACCTCTTTATCAGCCCTTAAATCAAATAACCGACACTGAAAAACCATATTAACATACGAAGAATTTTGCGGGTTATTACCGTTGCGTCGTCGCTTCCTGTAGCTACAGCATCGCCACTTGGATGGAATTTAACACTGTTAACGTCTGATTCGTGTCCTTCAAAAGACTGGACGCATTGTCCCGAACGCATATCCCAGATCAATACCATTTTATCGCAACTCTAAAATTTGAATTACAGTGTGAAAACTTGTGGTAATTGTGTTATTTACCCCTGAAACGAAAGTGTTACCAGTTTCGGACGGGGCCAGATCTATTGACATAACATCAGCGGAATGTCCGTGAAAACTCTGTAATAACTGTCCCGACTCTACGTCCCACAAGGCGCAAGTTGAGTCGCCACTCCCCGTCAAAATTTGTTGGTCAGAGTTGGGAAAAATGCAACAACTCATGTAACTAGTGTGCGTCCCTACTGTTTTTTTCTTGAGTGTCACATCCTCGTCCAGACTTAATGGATAAACAGTGACTTTGTTATCCAAACCTCTGAAAAAAACCCCTCATTTATCAATTTTTAGATAGTACAAATGAAATACCCGCAAGCGACTAGGTTTCCTGATGGTGCATAAGCACAAGCCATTACCCATGTTGTAGGCATGGTGACTGCGTGCTCTTTGTTAGTAGTGAAAGCATCCCAAATGATCATTTTACCATCCTACCAAGAAATTAGTAATATGTTACAAAAACAAGCAAATAATGTTTGTTTACTTGTGATGATGAGACAATGTGGCGCTTGTCAGGAGACCAATCAGAACACAAGACTTTGGCTTGGTGCCCTTTTAGAGTACGTCGAGGTTTGATGTTCATGTAATTGATGATGTCCAAACGCTCGGCCACTGTAGCCACTGGAAAATCAGCTCAAACCTTGCAATCGATTTTGATTTTGTGGATACGTTACGTGTGACATCGTTGAGTTTTTGTCTTTCATCTTCCAGTTTCTTTTTTAAGGCTTCAGCCTCTTTGGTAAGGGATTCGATGGTTTCAGTGGGACAATCTTTCGTCTCCGTTTCAGTCATTTTTAAAGCACCACAACACTCCCACTTGAAATCAGGCAAAACATCAATAAACAGCTGACAGTTGATTTTGACAGATACTAGGGGAATTCTCGCGAGCGTGAATTCTCGCCTCGGGTTGTGGTGACGCAATTTAACCTCAATTTTGAACCCTTAGAATTTTAATAAATGCCGTTTTTCTCTGGGTTGATTTCCATTTTTAACAACAAAATTTTCGCCGCACTTAATTGTTTATTCATAAAGCAGTAGTCATACTTTGGGTTCATGCTTCAACACATTTCAACACACCCTGTATTTTGATTACTGTGACCCTAAAGTTACAGAAAATGTACCCTCTTCAGCGAGTGTTCCTCTATAATTTCAAGCTAAATCAGGCGAATAAAAGTTTAATTCATACTTGTGCCACTTTGCGCACATTTTGGGAAAGGGACGATAAGGGGGGTTATAATACAAAACAGCATGTCCCTTTTAAGGAGAGAATGCGCCAGGGGCTGCACGAACTCAAACAGGAAATAGCGTTGTGGAAACAAGAAATGAAAGAAGATTTTGAGATGGATCCCATTTTGGTAAATAGACCGGGGGAGACTGATATTGTATGGAAGTTTGGGGACGAAGAGTCACTAAAAAAATGGGTTATAACGAGTGATAGTGACCACGGTGAGGGTTTTAGTACGTGTAGTTTAAGTTTAACGAACAATAAGAAGGGACTGTTTTCTGGGGAGTTATCGACAAAAGTACCAAAGGATGGAAGGATTAAGAGAGCTGGTTATTGTAATGTTAAAACACTAAGAGCGAGGGTAATTAAAAAAAAATGATTTAATTGTTTCTTTAATTCAAATGAACCGTTTTAGAAATCGTTTAAAAGAGAAACTTATTTAAACTGGATGGGTTACAACATGTTAGTAATGAGAGTTAGAGGAGATGGTCGCTCTTACATGCTAAATATTTCAACTCGGGGGTATTACGATATTTTATGGAATGATATGTACCATTACGTGTTATATACACGTGGGGGGCCATATTGGCAAGTTTCTCGAGTATTATTTAGAAAATATAATTGTTTGTTATTAATTTCTACAATTTGTAGATCCCTTTCTCGAAATTTTTTATGGCGTCGAAGGGAAGAGTTCAAGACAAGCAGCATCCTATAGCTTTGAACAAAGTAACAAGTTTTGGGATATCAGTAGGGGACAAAATCAATGGTCCTTTCTCGCTTGAAATCGATTACATAGGAATAGAATTCGATCCAAATCATACGGAAGAATTCGCATATGAAATGTACGAGACCCCTAAATACATGACTGCGACTTAATTGGTTTTTCATTTAATATCTTAATTTTCAAACTTGGCGCCAATAATATATCACGAACCTAACCTAAAAATAGAGACCTTCAACTTACAATGTTTTTTTAAATAAGTAAATACAAATTTATTATTTTAACCAGCATCTGATAACGAACAAACAAATAAATAGTGTTTATTTCTTGTATAAGTTATGTTAAAATAAAAATGTATCACAATCATAAAAATAGGTTAAGTCGGTATTAATCCGTGTTGTTTCAGCATGAATAGTTTTAAAATTACCAGTATTTTTGTGAACAAATTACTAATAAGACGGTGCCCTTTCCGTACTTGCATAAATCTAGACTGGAACATTTCCGTTAATCACATTCAGGCCACGTCCCATTCGAAATTATTTTGCACAACTTCAAATAAGGAAAATGATGAGTATACTCGTCACAAGAGTTTAGTAAAGAACGAGTTCAAAGCCTACATTCGGCAAAACACTGAAAAACTTCGAGACACCGAACAAAAGCTCAAACAGAAGGGGACGGTGATATTACAAGACATTAAAGAAACCACTGATAAGGTCAAAGAAAAAGTAGAGGAGGTGATTGAACGGGAAAACATTTACACAATTCCCAACTTCCTTTGTGTTTCAAGAATACTCCTTTCTCCATATTTAGGCGTGTTGATAGTCCAAGCCAACTTTGACTTCGCATTAGCTGTCCTTGGAATAGCTGCAGTTACTGACTTAGTAAAAATAATACATTTTTAATACTGCCATAATAATAATTAATTTTCAGCTTGATGGATGGATTGCGCGGACGTGGGAAAGTCAGTCGTCAAAACTTGGGAGTTTTCTAGACCCAATGGCTGATAAAGTCCTGATAGCCACCTTATTTCTGACTCTGACCTATGCCGACTTAATCCCAATAGCTCTAACCAGTCTCATTGTACTTCGTGATGTCTGTCTTGTCACTGCAGGTTTTGTCATAAGATACAGGTCACTACCACCACCTGTACGCAATTTCCAATTGTTTTACTATTAGTAAAATTGTGTTTGCAGAGGACCTTGAGCAGGTATTTTGACGCTACACACGCCACTGCTCAGTTAGCACCGACTTTTATCAGCAAAGTTAATACAGGAGTTCAGTTGTTACTGGTAGGGTCTACACTAGCGGCCCCTGTGTTTCACTACGTTGGCCATCCTGCATTGGAGTGTTTGTGGTAAGCTCACAGCCAAGTTTATTATTAAAAAGTGTAATTAAAATCATTGTAGGTATATTACTGGTGCTACTACTTTAGCAGCTGGGTTTAGCTACATCTTTTCGAAAAACACGTACCAAATTTTTAAAAAAATACCCAAAAAGTAGAAAAGGCTGACTGATTGTTTAGGTTTGTATCAATTCGTAGATTTAAGGACAACCGATTTTAAACAGACATGAGATAAGTCGTGTATGAGAAGTAGACCTTGATGAAAGTTCCCATCTTAATTTTTCACAATGTACATATATTATTGTGCCGATCCTAAAATATTTTGTTATCTTTTTATTTATGAAAAGGCTCAATACTAGAAAAATACATATATTTAGTAAAGCAAATAAAGTAACAAAAACCCGTAAAATTCTGCGATTGGTAATACTGCATTATTCAGATTCGCTTTCAACTTTCCTTTTTCTACCCACCTTAAGAGTGGGTTTGCTTTTCTTTTTTCCCGCTCCTCCGGAACATTCTCCAAATTCATATTTCGCTTTCAAACGTTCACGTATCAACAAACCCCTGATAAGTCTTTTCCAATTCCCATAAACCCTTTTATCGATTTTTTCCTGTTCTTTTTTCTCCAACTCATCTTGTTCCTTTATTACTTCCATTAGTAAACACCTTTGTGTTAAATTAAAACTTACCAATTCCCATGCTGCGGTAAGAACATCAGCAAACTCCTCACACACAATATATCCATCGTAAGTCGGGTGATTCCACCCACCGTGAAAATCAAACCCTACAAGCGCCGGAGCACAATCAATATTCATCTTTTTTGCAACCTTATTCAAGCCCGGAACTACAAAAAAAAAACAATAAGCCGATTTTAACCCTCAAGTGAGTCTTACGTTTCAAATGAACTGTTTTCTTAGGTAACATGCAAGGTTTGAACAACTCAACATTCCCAAAAGCATTTCTAGGAACGATCCCGTTTTCGGCAGTGGGAGGTTCATAGTCTTGAACTTGCCAGGGCCCAAAGACTTCCAACAATTGATCGGTTATAATCTTGTTGGATAACTAAAACCACCAATTGTGACAAATGTATATTGTTATTTGCACATACTTTATCCCATTTGGGTCTAGCTTTAACGATTTTGTATGGCTGTTCTCCAGGTTTGACAACTTTGGCGTGCTTCAACCAGATGTCTCTGGAATGTAAGATGTAGACGCACTGTCTGGAATAGACAGGTTCGTTGCGGACGAACCCCAAAGTTGGGGGATCAGGTGGGTATAATGCTTCAAATTTGAGAAGGTGGCGTTTCAGGACGTACAAGGGGTGATTTTTATATCTAAAATAATGTTAGACATTCTTAATTAAACCTGAGCAAATAACCGATTAAATTACTCTGCAATTGAAGTCGGTAAAGGTTTCTCCAACTGTTGTCGCTCCAACTCATCATCCTCTTCCCTATCTCTGACAGTTTGGGGCCCTGTGAAAGGTTTCACGGTTGCCTCCCACCATTTAGAGTCAATTCTCAGTTTTCTAGTAACTGTATTAAAGTTAGTGCAGTATCTCCTAGTCACATCTTTGATCCTATTATCGTTATTCCAAGCAACTATGTATGAAACTGGATGAGTGGCTCGACTCTACGAAAACTTTACTCAGACTTTGTTTTTACAATCGACAAAACTCACATGTAATTCGGTAACACAATGGATCTGTCCTTTGACAACATCAACACTGATCCACTTTTCCTCCACTTCCATGAACACTTCACACCAAACATCCAACCCTTGCTTCTTCTTTATTTTACTGTCATCGTCTTCAGGTTTCACTTGTACTCGTCGTTTTACTTTGACTTTCGGTGTAAACTCATCTTCACTTTCGTGGTTTTTTTTCTTGATGGCTTCAGGGGCATAGTCGCTGTCACTATCACCACCGACGCTTTTACGTTTTCGGACTGTTCTAGAACGGGTCAAATCCTTCTGTTCTTTTATACTCTTTTTAACAAGTTGTATAATGTCTTTACGCACATCCAGAGCTTTAGGTACGTGGTTTTTGAGCTTTTTGAGATTGACACCATTGGTTTGAGGCGATTTTGTGTCTTTTTTAGTGGACGGACTTGGAAATTGTGTGAAGTCGTCCTCTGAATCGGAATCACGATATTTTGGCAGAGTTTTCAATCGTTTGGATTGTGTCTTTAGAGTTGGTTGTTCTGTTGGCTTTTGGGTCAGTTTTCTTAAATTCGGTTTAGATGGTGTGTCGCTGTCGTTCGCACCATCTACTTGAGGAATGGTAGGTTTCTGACTCCTTGTACGCCTTTTATTAGTTGTCTCTTCTCCACCAGTGGTTGTTTTTAGCTTAGTTTCGGTTTTGGGTTTGGTATTTTTTGTAGTGTCACTTTTAGTTATTTGTTTACGTTTAGGAACATCACCTGTACTTCTTGAACGAGTACTGGTTTTAGGACTTTTGTCTGCTTCCTCCGACTTTGCTTTTATAGTTTCACTTGAACTTTTTGATCGAGTATTAGGTTTGGGATTTTTAACTTCAAGAGTTGCTTTAGGCAATTTTTTTCCTCCTACAGGTTTATCCTTCGACGTTTGCGTTCGAGTATTTGCTTTGGGATTTTCAACTTCTACAAGTTTATCACTTGCATTTTTAGAGCGAGCGCTGGTTTTAGGATTTTTGGTTTTAAGATTCGTTTTTTCACCTGTTTTAATATCACTTGTACTTTTCGATCGTGTACTGGTTTCGGGTTTCTTGACTTCGAGAGTCGATGCTTCGCCTATTTTAGCCCCAATTACGCTTTTGGACCGAGGATTAGTTTTAGTTTCTTGTTTAGTGTTTTTAGCTTCAGACTCTTCTTTTGTATCTTCAGATGTAGATTTCTTGTTTGCTTTATTTTTACTTGTCGACGCTTTTTTATCAGTTTTAGTGCTCAGTGAATGCAATTCGCTGCTTGGGGGCCTTAAAGGCTCGACTTGAAACGACAAAATCAAACGACAATGAATACCCAAAGACCGCAGAATAGCCACAAAAATCAAAACCAATATTTTCTTACTGTATGCTGTCTTTTTCAACATTTGTTCCGCGAGTGTTTCATCTAAAGGTTTTTCCGTTATCACTGGTTTCTCCACCACTTCTATAGCATTTCTAAACCATTTCAAAATCTGAGTTAAATAATTAAGGTCTGTACGATCAGCTGGGAAACAATTCTGTGAGGGAATTAGTGATAGTGCAGTTGATAAGACGTTTTCTGAGTTGATTTTAGTATTGACATAATTGCCATGAGCAATCCAACATAATAAATGCACTTTATGAACAAAAACTTGGTTTTCTTTCCTCACTCGATTGATTCGTCGCTTTATAGCCGCCATTAAATCAACTCCTTTCTTCTTTTTAACAGCACCAGGCATCTCCACTGTAATTTCAAGCCCTTCTTTAGGCGCCGAACCTTTTTCTTTCTGTTTTTGTTCCTTCTGTTCCGTCACATCCTCCCAACCTTCCTTTTCAGAATCAGAACACGACTCAAAATCACTGGAATGCAAAGTTGCCTCAAGTTGGGCCCGATTTTCATCGCTCAGAGATTTTAAATTTGCTTCACCAGCAGCTAGCAAATTCTCAACGTTCAATTCGTTATTTTCTTTTGCTTGTTTTTTTGCATTGTACTCCTCAATGTGTCGTTTCGCCTCTTCCAACTTTTTAGTGTAATTGTGGAGTTGACTAAAATTCAGTTTTGAAGTTGAAGGAGAAGCTTGAATGGCTTCCACTGCAGGTACATCATCATTGCTCTCAGAATCACTGAGCGTATTTGTCTTGACTCCTTCAAGAATTTCATTTTCGATTTTTTCAAATGAAAGATTGTCTTTTTGAACAGTGAAAAAGGGTGAGTCTAGGTCTAGTTTGTCGGCAGGTTGTAGATAGTTTTCAATATCGCTTTCGCTGGACGATTCATTTGTGGCTGGTTTCGTTTTTTTCGGTGGAGATTCTTTGACTTTAGATAAAGGGGTGTCATCATCGCTGCTGTCGGAGGGCAAACTTTTTGGGGCTCGCCTGCGGCGCATCTTGCTTCTGTTGTGTGTTAAATTTAAAATTATAATTATGCAAATAATAAAATAAATTATCCATATATTTTATAAATATTTAGAAAAAAATTGGAGAAAAACTTAAAAAAAAAAAAACTTCAAAAATGTAAAACTTGCTTTATATTGTTTCACAACAAATAATCACTTATTTATTATTAAAAAGCGTAATGTTGCGTAACTTTTGCATTAGCATAAATACTAACAACGCATATTTCCCGCGCAAATAAACAAAAGTTTTTGCAGTAATTTAATTTCGATTCTTGACCGCAAATTGGTCTGATTTCGGCTAAATTTATATTCAAATTACTCTTCATAATACTAGAAGTTGGAACTACTGCACATTTTTAATAATATATCTTTTAAAACAATTAAAACTTGAGCGAAAAAAAAACTTCTATGAGACAGGTTATGTCAAATGCCCACTGTAAGTTACTCACCTTAAGGAAAATAAAAAAATGTCAACAACAATACTCCAGAAACTAATTTAAATTAGACATTGAGCAACAAAAAAAAAACACGTTATTTTATTCTCTTTCCACTTAATCAATTAATTACACACGATTACACCTTTATTACAATTTTTTTACCAATTTTAAAACGAACATGAAGTTAGGCACTTGTCACTTTTGGTTGGTGACTTTTTTGTTTCTGTGCTGTTTCAAATTGTATATGGTTGGCAAGCATTTTTCTAAAGTGCATTAGCGCCGGATGATACGAAAAATGATATTTTGAGTCATTTCAATAATTTTAAGCAATAAATCTCGTGGAATTTACATAATGGCTTACCATTACGTCGTCACGGCTCATAAGCCAACGGCTGTAACAGCCTGTGTTACAGGTATGCGATATTGACCATCTAGCAGCGAATACATAACCTTTTTCTTAGGCAATTTTACTTCTCCGAGCGATTTGAACTTAATTGTGGGCAAAAATACAAGACTAGAGATTTATTTGGTAACACCTGAAGGTCTCAGGCCTGTCAAGGAAGTCGCACTTTATGGAAAAGTTGCTGTAATGAAATTATTCAGACCCCAAGTTTGTATTGTTATGGAGTTTTTGTGGAGTATTATTGTGGCGTATTTTAGCATGAGAAGAAAGATTTGTTGTTTATTGTCACAATGCGTTACAATGCAATGATCCTTGAATGTGTGAATGATGCTGATAATTTGGATATTATTACTAAAGCCCATGGGAATGTTGCTGATAAAATAGGGAAGCCTTCGGAGACGGGGATTTTGGCCGTGATTGACCCCAAGGCCCGAGTGATTGGTTTACGTCTCTATGACGGGTTATTTAAGATTATACCTCTGGAAAAAGATAATTCTGAATTAAAAGCGTCAAATATCAGGTACTTGTTTCAGATTTTGCAATTACTTTATTTACTTTTGTATTAATAAACAGAATTGACGAGTTGCAAGTTCACGATGTGGAATTCCTCCATGGTTGTGCCAACCCGACTTTGATTCTCATTCACCAAGACGTAAACGGCCGTCATGTCAAAACCCATGAAATCTCCCTTAGAGAAAAAGAATTTGTTAAAGTTCCTTGGAGACAGGACAACGTCGAAACTGAAGCCTCTATGATAATCCCTGTGCCATCCCCACTAGGTGGTGCTATAATAATCGGCCAAGAGAACATCCTCTACCATGACGGTATCACCCCAGTGGTCGTTGCCCCCGCTGTTATTAAACAAAGCACCATCGTGTGCTATGCCAAAGTCGATCCTGGCGGCCTTCGTTACCTCCTCGGCGACATGGCCGGCCATCTTTTCATGCTATTTTTAGAAGTGGAAAATCGGGGCGACGGTAATGACGTCGTTAAAGACTTGAAAGTGGAACTGTTGGGGGAAATCGCGACGCCTGAATGTATTACGTACTTGGATAATGGAGTTTTATTCATTGGATCGAGATTGGGCGACTCGCAGTTGGTAAAACTGACCACTAAACCTAACGAAAGTGGGTCGTATGTTACCGTGATGGAGTCGTTTACGAATTTAGCGCCGATTTTGGATATGTGTGTTGTTGATTTGGAGAGGCAGGGACAGGGGCAGTTGGTGACTTGCTCGGGGGCGTTCAAGGAGGGATCCTTGAGGATTATCAGAAATGGCATTGGGATTCAGGAGCATGCATCCATTGATTTGCCAGGGATTAAGGGGATGTGGGCGTTGCAAGTGGCGTCAGGTATTTAAAAATGAGCAAAATAGAAGAAAACGTGTTTTTTGGCATCTTGAATATTGTTTTTGTAATAATTCTTACAGATGGCCGGTACGACAATACCTTAGTCCTGGCTTTCGTTGGTCAAACACGCGTCTTGAGCTTAAACGGTGAGGAAGTTGAAGAAACCGACATTGCCGGCTTTGCCTCCGACCAACAGACTTTTTTCTGCGGCAACGTCATCCACGAACAGATCGTCCAAGTTACCCCAATCTCTGCACGTCTAATATCAGCGCAAAACAAAACTTTGTTAGCCGAATGGAAACCACCTACTGATAAAAATATAGCTGTAGTGGCATGCAATACGTGCCAAATAGTAGTTTCAACAGGCTCCATTTTGTATTATATTGAAATCCACCAGAATGAACTAATCATGAAAGGGTAAGTAAGGGTGAGACTGGTGATGGAAATGTGATACAATAATTGTTTTAGAGTGACTACACTTGACGTTGAGGTGGCTTGTTTGGATATTAGCCCTCTCGGGGATGGGGTAACAACCTCGGAATATATCGCGGTGGGACTATGGACCGATATTACTGCTCGGATTTTGCGCATACCCGACTTGTCTGAAGCTACTAAAGAGTATCTAGGGGGAGGTATAAAAAATAATTAATAGTGAGGTTGGATACGAATTATTTGTTTGCAGAAATTATACCTCGCTCGGTCCTAATGACCTGTTTCGAGGGTCATAATTACTTGTTATGTGCCTTGGGTGACGGTTCAATGTTCTATTTCGTGTTTCACAAAGATACAGGAACGTTAAGTGACAAAAAACGTGTCACTTTGGGCACCCAACCCACTGTTTTACGAACCTTCCGCTCGTTGAGCACTACGAATGTTTTTGCTTGTTCTGATAGACCGACTGTAATTTATTCATCCAATCACAAGCTTGTGTTTTCTAATGTTAACATGAAAGAAGTTAATCATATGTGTTCGCTTAATGCTGAGGCATATCCGGACAGTCTAGCTTTAGCAACAGATTCGTCCGTCACAATTGGGACAATCGATGAGATACAGAAGTTGCATATTCGGACGGTGCCGTTGCAGGAGTCGCCAAAGAGAATAGCGTACCAAGAGGAGTCACAGGTTGGTAGGACTGACAGTTTTGAGTGAAACTAATAAATTGTTAGACTTTTGGTGTATTGACGGCTCGCATCGATATACAAGACTCGACGGGGTTAAATCCGGCGCGTCCAAGCGCTTCGACTATGGCTCAGTCGGTAACATCATCAAGTAGTGTTGGGTCTCTCTCAATGAGTAAATCTGGGAGTAGCAGTTTGATTGGTGGTAACATAATCCCCGACTATGGGCAAGAAGTCGAGATACACAACTTGCTCATTATCGATCAACACACCTTTGAAGTCTTGCATGCCCACCAGTTGATGCAACAGGAATACGCCATGTCGATAATCTCAACCAATCGCTTAGGTGGTGATATGAACGAATATTACATAATCGGCACTGCCACAGTCAATCCTGAAGAATCAGAACCCAAACAAGGCCGTATCTTAATTTTCCAATGGAATGACAATAAACTAACCCAAGTGTCTGAGAAAGAAATCAAAGGTGCTTGCTACTCTCTTGCGGAGTTCAACGGCAAACTGCTGGCGAGTATTAACAGCACAGTGAGACTTTTCGAGTGGACTGTAGAAAAAGAATTGCGATTGGAGTGTTCACACTTTAATAATATACTAACTCTGTTCTTAAAAACAAAAGGAGATTTTATTCTTCTGGGTGACTTGATGCGCAGCATGACCTTGCTGCAGTATAAGACAATGGAAGGTAGTTTTGAAGAAATCGCGAGAGATTATAACCCGAATTGGATGACAGCTGTTGAAATACTTGACGATGACATTTTCCTAGGAGCTGAAAACTCGTTTAATATTTTTGTTTGTCAGAAAGACAGTGCGGCTACTACGGACGAAGAAAGGTCACAAATGCACGAAGTGGGGCGGTTTCATGTCGGCGATATGATCAACGTTTTCAGACATGGATCTCTAGTTATGCAAAATTTGGGAGAGACGTCGACTCCGACTACAGGCTGTGTCTTGTTTGGTACAGTGAGTGGGGCTATAGGTACACTTTTTATTTCTCATTTGTTGCGTCGTTAAGTATCCTGGTTTTAGGTTTAGTTACACAGATAACTCAAGATTTTTACGACTTTCTCCTAGAATTGCAAAATAAATTATCGACGGTTATTAAATCGGTTGGTAAAATTGATCACTCCCAATGGAGAGCGTTCAATACCGATATTAAAACAGAGGCTAGTGAAGGCTTCATTGATGGTGACTTGATTGAAAGTTTCCTCGATTTGTCACATGATAAAATGAAGGAAGTGGCCGATGGACTACAGGTAGAACGACCGCAAACTAAGTATTTTTCTAAACTGGTTGTTTCAGATTACCGGGGAAGGCGGCATGAAACAGGACTGTACCGTCGATGATTTAGTCAAAATGGTGGAGGATTTAACGAGGATTCATTAATTTCTCATGTGTGTTTATTATTTTATATAATACACCCCAGAAGAGGAAGACTATTAAGTAGTACCTTTCAGAAGTACAGTTACTGTCTTTTTTGTCTGTTAGTATTAGAAAAATAAAACTTCATATAAAATGATTTATTGTAAAAAAAAATTAATCTACAGTTTGTGACTTATAAATATGTTCGTAACCTGTTTTTAACAAAAACTGGAAATTGGTGTTATTTCGTAAGTCCCCTAAAGAGTCGTCACCTAGCAGTGTATCCAAGGGCGGGAGAAGATTCCATCCATCTCCGTCCAAATCCATGGCTAGGTCAACTAATTTGAAGAACAGTTTATTTTGTAGAATTTCCATAGGGCTATCCAAATTTTCGTGGTCCCATAAATCCCTTAATAACGCGTATCTCCAAATTTTTAATGACATTTCTTGTCTCAACTCTTCATCGTCGATGAATGCTAACAAATCGAGCGCTTTCTTAAACTCCAATTCTCCAGCTTCTGTATATTCTTTACAAATATAGAGATTAATCAAATCCTTTGGCGGAATTACGCGAATATGAATCGGATCATATCCAAACTGTTGCAAAACATAATCCGGGATATCCTCCTGATATGCAATCAAATCCAATCTCGATTGAACATTCTTTAAAAACTCCTCATTAACAGGTCCTGAAGCCAATTTCGCCAGTTTACACAAACTGAACATTGTTTTTTGCCTTGTTACCGACTCTGTCTCGTTTAAAGCCAAGTTTTGCAAGGTGTTTGCCGCTTGGTTGTACTTCTTATCGAAAATCTCTTGCATCCACGACAGTGATGGATGACCCGACAGGAAATTTGTGAGTTTTTGAATGTTTTTCGATTTGCCGACGTGTTTGCACATGTCAATCAATTTGCCTTGTTTGTTCTCTTTTAAAAACCAATTGTAGACGAATTCGGAAAATCCCTCATTGCTAAACCGTTCCAAATAATCGTCGAGTCGGCGTTGATTACCCGTCGATTCACAAAGGATCATAAGTGTCTCGAAATCGAGGTATTTTTCGGCAAGTTTGGCACATCTCTCCCAGTCTTTTTCCTGTACTTTAAACAAAAATTAATTACATAATTCAAAAAAGATTACATTGCACAACACATTTTGTTTCCAAAGGAAATTTGGGTAGAAATTTACACATTTTGATACAAACGAGTAATATTAAATTTTTTTATTATGCAGTCTTGTTGTTATTGTTAAGTTAATTAATTATTGTTAGTTCAAATGAACTAATTAATTATAACTATTATTTATTGTCTCCACATTGGTGGGTGATTTAATAAATCTAAAAACATTGTTATAAGCTTTTATTTAACTTGCTTTGTTGTCTGTCTGTCTGTTTACTTATTTTCATCTCTACCCACACTTTTACCAGACATAAAAAGTTTAAATTTTAAATTGGTACTTACTAAATGGTCTCATGAATTTTTGGCGATCAGAGCAGTATTGTTTGTAAATAATTTCTTCCAAAGAGGTTCCTTTGATGCTTTCTAAATGACTTTTTCGACCGTCTAGGATTATGTCGGTGATGGAGACCAGTTGTTCGAGAAGATCGGTCTTTAGGCGCTCTTTGCTTGTCAAAATTATTCCGTAGTTGTATGTGAGATAATGCTAAAAACCAATAAATAATAATTAGTTTGCCATTTTTAACAAAAACTTTTACAAAAACCTTTTTGGTTATAGAAAAGTTCGAAACACTGCATTATTATTATTATGCAAAACATAAAGAAAGTAGTGAAACACACTAAATAATGTTTTATTTGTCTTAAAACCTGAATTCATCTCGTAATAATGTCATTATAATGGAAATTTGTTGGTGGTTATTCATATTGTGACTGTCAATAATGGAAGTTATTACATCACGCTTGATGACTAAAAACTGTGTGTTATGACAGAAGTATTACCATTTGGGATAGATAATTGAACAGTCCCTCCGACCCACTAGCCGCAGTCCATGGCAAAAAATCGGGGGCTATGGCAATGACTGCTTCCGACGGCTTGTAACTCATCACATTCTGTTCTCTAAAGTTGATCACGCTTTTAAACGCACCCTAAACAAAATATAAGAAATATTTCGCTTTCTTAAAACAAAAAACATACCAAAATAATGTCATTTGCTTCGTGGATCATATCAACAATTTGAGTCGGATTCATGTTGGAATGTGACATATCTTCACAATAATTTACCATCTCTTGTACACCCTTATGCACTTGGCTGATCTCCCGGAAAAACACATCTTGGTAGGTTAACCCATTTTCCGGCCTGGTTTCAGACTCGGTCGTCGCTTTTTCAATGGCTTTTTCCAAAACATGACTATTAGCAGCCGTTTTGAGACTAATCGCAGCTACGATTTTTTCGGATAATTCGCCTATGATGTAAGTTGTTGCTGTTGTAGTGTTACGAATTGTTGATGCGGATAATTGGGCCCACAATCCTGACTCTTTGAGAAATTTAATAAACAATGAAAGTGCTTTTTGTTTGTTTTTTAATTGGTCTAGGACTTGCATCGAGTACGAACTGCCGAGACCGACTTGATGGTCCTTGGACCATCGAGGATCGCCGGCTGGAGTGTCGTCGATTAAATCTGTGCCCATCATTATTACGACTTTATCAAGTAAAGAGTCGATTCCTGGGAGTTTGGACGCGTCTGGAGGGAACAACTCGTCGATGATATCTTTACATGCTTGCTCCTGGTTTTGTATTCGAAAAATAAAAGCGGCCTTTAATTGACTCACTGTGTCTTTATAAACGACGGAAATCTCCTCAGGGTCCATATTATAAATGGAGAGATTGTTAACAACGACATTATCATTAAATGATGTGTCCACAGGAGTATTAGGGCATGTGAGACTCAGATTTAAGTCATTTGACATATCATTACTCGCTATAGCGACTAAGCCATGATTTCTGGAGAAAAATATAGGAGTGTTGACACAAATCGAACCCGCCAATAAGAAATCTTGAGGTGTGTTAAACTCTAAAATGTCAGGCTCTTCTTGAGGTTTGATAACAGTAATATGTTTCTGGTTATATAAATACGCATTAATGCCACATAAAAGGAAACGATATGATAGTGAATCACCCGGGTTGTTTTCCCGATACAAGTCTGTAATTTTCAGCAGAAGAAAATCTTTGACAGCTGTGGGTGCTTGATTCGTGTTTGTTTGTAGACTTATCATCGCATAATGTACCCTGGGTGAAATCGGAATATTAACCGCTGCTGCTAATACTATAACGCTGTCTTTGTCCGATTGGATGTCAAGTAGCCACGTGTCGATTTCGGTTTGGTCGCCCACACAATTCTCCCAGAGGGCGCTACGAAAACTATCCCTGACTATCCGGTTTAATTCCGCGACAAATATCAACTCTTCGTCGTTTTTGGACAGTTGCCACTTTTGCAGATTGTGGTCGGCTAGAACGTAGACCGTCCATGCGTCACCAGTTGTGTTAGAAACGCTCATAACGCGCACAATTCCCTGTTTAAATTTTTCCATTATGTTATTGTTTAATAAATTGAAAGTTACTTACACTTTCAGCCGAGCTTTCGCTGGCGATTGGCCCAAAAATCAGACTCGACATTCTTTTACTAATGCCCCCTAACCAGCCAGTTGGTATTCTAAGTGTTTTGCATTTCAAAGTGTGTCTCCCGCCGTTTAACTGTGGCTGGAGCAACAAAACAGTGCAAGTAGTAGTTGCCAGTATGCAGCCGAGGCCCTCTACGTCGGTTAGACTGTCGCATTCTTGGCCTTGTAGGTTGACGTGCTGTTCCACAGAGATCCCTTCGTGGACAATTGCCGGCCAGTAGCGCACTACCCCTTCTGGAGAAACGGCGATACAAGAAGGTGTGTTTGAGTCTGCATTTAAGAACACTGATACCAATTCAGCTCTGTGGGCCAAGTCGCTTTGGGGAAGTTGTAATTCAAAGCACTGGTTTAGTAAACTTGTCTTTTTTGATGGTGTGTCGAGTAAGACGGGGCTTTGGCGGTATTGCCAGATCAGTAAACGACGTCCGCAAACTACCCAGAGGTACCCGTGTTTGGAAATTCGTGCTGATACGACAGTATTTCCTTAAAAAAAACAACAAATTCATATGGAAATTGGTTCCAAAGGGGGTGTTTTACTGTCAGCAAATGTGAGGGCTTCAGTTATAAGAACTGGAAGGGGCTGTCCGAAACGTTCAACGTAATTGTAAGGTGTTGATAGAATTATTTGCACCGATTGGGTTGATTTTCCTGATACGCTGAAACGGCTGAAAAACCGGTAAATAAGAATGTTAGGTTAAGTTTTTGACTTACGATGATTTTCGGAAACTAGATGGAATGATTTTCTTGGCGCTGAGATTTTGTCGAGGGCGGGGAGAAAATGGACTTCTGGTAGAGAAGGAAGAGTTGAAGCTTCTTTCCATGCCGAATTCAATTGAAAAATTCGAATTTTAAAATTTTTTTGAAGACGAATAACAGCTGACATGCGCGCACTGCCCATAGAGTCCTATGCTCAACAAGTCCCAACAGTTTAACTTCATGATTTATCAATATTGTAGAACAAACAAATAATTGTATTACAAAAAGCGATTATTATTAAACATTATCATAAGAAAATTGTAAAATATTTAAAGCATTGTGAATTTCCTCAACAAGCGGGCACATAACATAAAAAACTTAAAATGTTTTGTTTTATTAACTTTTATTTTTGTCTAATGTAATTTTGGAACAACTAAACACCTAAACAGGACCTTGGTTATTGTTAAATTTACTTCCATAAAGCTTCTTATTTTGTTTAATGAAACAATATTTAAAAATGTTTTCAAATGTGGTACTCCTGTGACGTTTAAAGTGCGTGAAGTTGGCGCAAAATTGACGTTTGTTATGGCATCCGGATGGTGCGTAAAACTCAAACGAAATCACCTGGCAAAAAATCAAGAAAAAGTGACCCCGACATTTCGAGAAACGATGTGATGTTCACAACGTACACAGAGACATCTGTCCACAAGCGAAACCTATGCATCGTTTCATTTCCGATAATTTTTTTGTTCAACATTTTGCGCACATTGCTGTACCAAATCTTTGTTATCCTTCGTTTCGTGTATTGTAGTTCGTCGAATTATCTAATAAAGAAACGTCAGTTTGGATGTGAAAGTGACCAACAAGTTGCAACTTGTGTCATTGAAGAAATCACCGAAATGACTCACGCCCAAAGAGTCACAGGGCCGGGGCCAGGCGACCCCCTTTTAGCCAAACAGAAGCACCATCACCGCCGAGCCTTCGAGTACATCTCCAAGGCGCTCAAAATCGATGAGGAGAATGAAGGTCAGTGCCCGGTTTGGAGTACACAGGTGAATAATTGATGCCAATTTGTAGGTCAGAAGGATTTGGCTATTGAGTTGTACAGGAAAGGTATCACAGAACTGGAATTGGGGATTGCGGTGCAGTGTTGGGGCGGCCGCGGAGAAGTGTGGGAAAGGGCCCAACGCCTTCACGAGAAGATGAAAACCAATCTTGCCATGGCAAAAGACAGGCTGCAGTTTTTGGGTAACTAGATAGGATTAAATTGTTTTATTTTGGTTTGGTATTTATGTCTTTGTTATTATTTCTGTTTATAGAAAGCATGGATATGTTACATCGACAGGATGTTCAAAAAGAACCAAAAGAGGCTCCTAAACTTAGCTACACTAGCAATATTCCTACTCCCAAACTTTGTTTTAACAAAGGTATTCTTATTTCCAGTATATCAGCTTCCATTGGTGTAACTCGTAGTTGAACGGCTTCTAAGAGTAGAACACGTTGATCGATATCTTATAATCTCTAGTTTATTAATTAAAAGAATATGTAATCGCAGCAATCATTATGAACATTAATATTTTAATGACTAACAGCCTCAACTAGATTATCAATTTTCATCGCTTTTATGATTTGGTCGAGTTGTATAAAAAATCATTGCTATTGACTCCGATTCATTGGTTGAAAGACGATGTTTTTTATCTTTACTCATTTTCATTAAATTACCTACAACAACCAATGAGTTCCACATTTTTTATTTTCAATTAATTGTTAAAACAATCAATTGTCGTGTTACTACTGCACTGAATTTTTTCTTTAGCTTCTGGCAAGAAACTGTCAGTGGCTGGTAAACGCCCCCCTAACGCAACCCTGGCGAAAAGTCAAACTTTGCCCCGTTCGATGGGGTCCCGTTCAGCACCTATTCAGCCCGTCCGCCCCTTCAATAAGCTCTCGTCGACTCCTCCTGCCGTCAAAAAACAACTGTCGGTGCCGGGTACCACAGGCTCTCCTGCTCGAAAAACAACTTCAAGTATGACGCTAGATCGAAAGTACGATAATTATTGATTTGTTTCTCTAACAGTAGCAACTTCGAGTAAATCAACATCGCGGGGTGGCAAATCGCCTAATTTGAGAGGCGTTGATACAAAACTAGCTCAATGCATTATTGACGAGATCGTAGAAGGGGGTCTGCAAGTCCAATGGGACGACATCGTGGGTCAGGATGCTGCCAAACAAGCGTTACAAGAAATGGTAATCTTGCCGTCGCTGCGACCTGAACTGTTCACGGGCTTGCGGACCCCAGCGAGAGGTTTGCTCCTGTTCGGGCCTCCAGGAAACGGGAAAACTTTACTCGCGAGGGCTGTGGCAACGGAATGTCGGGTAAAAATAAACAACTCGTCTTGCAATCCGTAATAATGAAAAATTTTTCAAACGTAGGCAACTTTTTTCTCAATTAGTGCTGCAAGTCTCACTTCGAAATACGTGGGCGATGGTGAAAAAATGGTTAGGGCCCTTTTCGCCGTCGCTCGGGAGTTGCAACCTTCGATTATTTTTATCGATGAAGTCGATTCGCTTCTCTCTGAACGTTCAAATAACGAGCATGAGGCTAGTCGCAGGCTGAAAACTGAATTTCTAGTCGAATTCGATGGGTTGCCAAGCAACCCCGACAGTGAACGAGTAAGACGATGATTCATTGTTTTAACAGAAGTCTTCTTTACCGTTATTTTGAAGGTCGTAGTGATGGCGGCTACCAACCGCCCTCAGGAACTAGACGAAGCGGCTCTCCGTAGGTTCCCGAAGCGCGTCTACGTCACACTCCCCGATCTTGAGACTCGTATCCGATTGTTTAAAATGTTGTTGGCAAAACAGGGTTGCACACTCACGCAACAAGAACTGAAACGATTGGCGACACTCACTGAAGGATACTCGGCTAGTGATTTGACAGCCCTAGCGAAAGATGCCGCTTTGGGACCAATTCGGGAGTTGCAGCCGGAACAAGTGAAGGAGATGGATCCCAATGCGTTGAGGAGTATCACCATTAATGATTTTTTGGATTCGTTGAAACGGATCAGGAGGAGTGTCTCGCCACAGAGCTTGGTGGCGTACGAGAAGTGGTCGTTGCAGTACGGAGACATGTCTATTTAACCATTCCGCTTTTACTTTGGTGACTTTTCGTTTTAATCTGTGATATTAACTGTATTTTTGTTTGAAATTTTGCTGCCTGTTGATTTTGTTGTCTTGTTTCATAGTACAAAAGAGTTTCTCTTTTTTGAGCCGAAATGACGTATGAAAATACTAAAAGTAATGTAGTCCATTAGATTAGGAGTGTTTTTAAGAGTTTGTGTTTATTAGCACGTTTTTATTACCATAATTTTATATTTTTTTTGAAGTTGTACACTTGGAAGTGTCTCAAGTCAGATGTTGCTTTTTTCATAAAACGTTTGTAATCTTATTGATATAATAAAAATAAATTGAAAGAAATGTGTTTGTCAAAAATGAACACTTGAATGAATTAAAGAAATGTAATTTATATCAATATCATTGACAAAGCAAAGCTGTACATTAAAAAAATACTGTCTAAGACATAATATCAACTCCATATCCATATGTACACTTTCCTTCCATCTTGAAACATAAAAAATATATTCTTACAGCTAATTATTGAATGTATTTCGAGTTACAACACTAGACTTACACTTTCTTTTATCAAGTAACTAACAATATAATCATTCGTTTTTTGTTTAATAACACATTCAAAGCAAGTGCCACACATTTAATTTCTAAATACGTAAATAATATCTGTACACTTCTCCAACTAACCCCCGATTGTTCGATTATAAAAAGAATAAATAAAACAGAGAGAAAAGTTTTAAATAAAAATAACATTTTGTAAGAACGACCGACTCGGTATCATTATAAACGTCTTAAATATATTATTTTATAAAAGGCCACATGCTAATTTAGTAACGGCTAACAACACATAAATCCTTTCATGCAGTCATTTACAACTATTGGATCTAGAATAGAATATTTGCATACAAATAATAAATCTTAGCGCGAAAAAATTGTACTCACATATCGTCTACCAACTACCGTATCTAAAAATATTTTTGACTTTTCTCTCAAACCAATAAAAAAAAAACGTTAATCTTTATAGAAAAAAAGACGTAAAATCACATCGCCCTAGCATAAAATCAATACTTGTCACCTCAAATCAACTGAAATGAATTAAAATACCCGGTGATTCCCTAGGTTGCATAACATAACCTGTTGGCACTAAGCTCACTAAGAAAAACGTGTTTTTTAAGTGGACTAGCACTTGTTAACATCTGGTGGCGTCGTGAGATACTCGTCTGCTCTTTTGTGATCGTTCAGTGCTTTGACGGTGTATTGATCTTGTGGTAATTCCGATTTACGTCGGACTAACGGTTTGTTTGAATTGCGAGTCTTCTTTGTCTGGAATTAAAACCAAGATTAACAAAACACACCATAGTAGTCACCATACAGTAACAGTTGAATGAAAATTGTAAAAACAACTCATACAACGTCGATTGTGCTCCACACCCTTTGTGCAATACAACAACTAACAACAAGATCAAATGTTTCAATGACAAAATAAGGAAATAAGGTGACAACAAACTTACTTCTACTATTATAATACAAACAACAAACTTTACTAGCTGCGTTTTTTCTGAAACAGAAGAGCAGATTGTGTACACTTGTCATAAAAACATTTGTTTACAGAGAAGGGAGGAATTAATTTACCTCCTGGGCTTGCTGTTCTATGTTATCTAAAGTGACTTCATCGTCTGGGTCAGGACTCGTAATGATGCTCTTGATTTCTGGATTTTGTGTTTTAATTAGTTCGTATTCGGGTTTCTGAGCTGCTAGAGACTCTACTCTGATCCAAAGTTCCATACGTTGATTTTCACGCTCGCGCTCTCTGCAAAAAGCATATTAAAACATTTCCTTGGGGAAAAATTTCAACTTACTTCCGTCTCTCCTCTCGATATAGTTGTGTACACTCGTCAAACAATTTTTGATTCATTTCCATAAACAACTTAAGTGCATTGTAAATCAGGCCGTGTATAGTTTTGTTCCAATGACTCTTAGAATTTTTGTATAGACTGGGGAACATCAATGGTAGAATCTCGGTGGCATTTTCCGACACCAGAGACATCACATATTCGTTATTCCAATAGTAGAGTGCCCTCTCAGCGACTTGAAAATGCGGCGAACTTACACACTTCGCCAGTTGTTTAAACAGCGGTACCATTACTTTCTGGAATTCCCCAGGTTCTATAACGTCAAGAATTTCTTCCAATTCGTTCAAAAACATCACTTCCTTCGGACTATGCGTTTTGGGCCAATACTTTAACAAACTTCTAATCACCGGTTGGGTCAACGAAGGGTCCTTCTCCAAAAACTGCACAACACAATAGGCCAACTGCGGATGATACACCGACAACGATTTGACTTTATGCAACGGCATCAGAACTCGCAAAAGAAACACTTTGTGTTCTTCTTTCAACGGTAATGCGAAACCGTTGATTATCGATCCGAGGATTTCAAGAAGCTCTGCGATGCCGTTGTGGTGCTCGGTTTCGTAGATGAAGCGATAAAACACGTTGTTGATTTGTTTGCGGATGAAGGCGCGAAGACCGAGAAACTTGCCGTAAATCCGATGAAGAGTCGTTTTCAGAAGATCACGTTCGCGGGGATCTTCTGAATCGAATAGATCGAGCAGTTGGAGAACGAATTTTTGGTCTATGTAACGTTTGGCCAAATTTGGTTGGAAATCGGGCGCTTCCAGCACGCGTAAAAATAATTCGTAGACCAGTTGGAGGTGAGGCCAAGCAGCTTCTAGGGTTGGCTCGTCCTCTTCTGGGTCGAATTCGGCACCATTCGGGTTGGATGATGGGGGTAACGTGCGGAAAAGATTCACGGCGAACTAATAAAAAAATAATGCAATGAAATCAACCACCAATGTGAAAATATTGCTGAAATAATCGCTAAATAAAAAAATTCTATTTCAACTTCAATAAATCTATTTTTAACTTAAAAATTAAGTTATGTAAAAATTAATTATGTAGCAAAAGCTATAAAAATAGACCTATATTCCGTAATTTAGAAAACAAAATGATCTAAAAGTTCCTTGTACGTTTTATTAAGTATACCCAAGCCGCTCGTCGGCAGCACTAATTAATATCTAATTAAAAAAATATATTTGCTACAAAGAATAATACGTTATGTAGATGTAAAAAATTTAGAATTTAGGGTTTCCAGAGTAAGTTTTATTAATAAAATATTGCAAATAAAATTTAGATCTACGCTTATGACTACAATTTTTATTAAAATCGCTTAAATCAACCTTTGTTTAGTATTGCCACCAAAACTTTGATGTTCAAAACATATCCGGCCGTGTAATCGTCCCTGAACTTTCCGCCATATAAAAATAATTTATGAACACGAATTAATTTCTCAGACGGCAAAAACATCCGATAATTCGACTTGGAATTACCGCTAAATTGCAATTACGCTAATATCCTCGTAATAAAAAAAATATATCCATTACACACCATTTACTCAACAACAAAAAATCGTCATTTTTCCCAAGTAAAATATCGAAAACAACCGATTGCACTCGCCAATACGTCAAACAACTTAACATACAATAAAAAGAAATCCATGAACATGACGCGAAAGTAGAAAAATCTCACCATATTAACGGCCTCTGGGTAAATAGCTTCGGTGATGACGCCTTTTTGTTGCGTTACATATTCCACCATTTCGTGAAGAGCGGCTCGTTTTACTTCTTTCCATTTTAAATCAGACAAGGGGTCCGAAGCGAAATCAAAAAGAACGCAACATTGACGGAGTTTTTGGATGAAGAGTTCTTCTCGATCAGCCGGAGCGGCATCTAAAATAGATATAGTTGTTGAAAAAATTCACGTTTCATACATTATTTAAAAACATGCAAACAAAGAATTGTGTCTACAGTCGTGCATTAATTTGAATTCTTGGAAAAAATATAGACGCATGATAATCAAGTAAGGCGCCCACTGAAAAATTAATCTCGAGATGAATGTCTACATTTGTACAAGGGTGGAATTAATTTAGAAGGCGATAAATTTAGCTTGGGATTTAGAAAAAGAGCTTTAGGAATATTGCTTGTTATCAGCTGCGACTAGGGTAGTAAATATGATTATGTTCAAGTAACTTGATGTTTTATTAACGCATAAAAAGGATTTTGTTACGGAAGTAAACAGTTTAACAAGCTATTCGCTTCTACAAATTAACTTAATCTTGTTAGTAATAATTGAAAGACGTTATTTTTGTTCTTTTCATGCGCGTTTGATCTAATTTAAGAATAAAGAAGTTGACAAAATTTAATGAAAACATTACATGAATTAATTATTATTTTAGTCTGTAAGGGTGTCAAAAGTAAAACCAATGTCATTATTCTATACTTATTTAACACTTCGAAAATATAATAACACATGATTCATGTGCATAATTAACAAATTGTAGTTTTAACAATACAAGAACATTTACGAGTACCTGTATAGTGTACGGATATTGATATTACCGGGGATATTACGCATGGTACAAAAAGGTGTTCAGAATAGCATTTAACATTCTAGTTATAGACATTTATAGAGATTTAACAAAAATTTAATTTTTCAATAATAAAAACCGGTCATTGTTTAATCAATTTTTGAGCTTTAATAAAAAAATAAATTATGATAATGAGATTATGATGATAATGACATAAAATAGTTGAACGACCTATCAATTTTGTAGAAAAAAAAAATATATCCTAGTACTAGTAAATAATCGTAAAAACTTTTTTTTACAAAACTCTTGATAAATGCGCTGGCTTTTGATGAAACCTAAATGAAAACCACTGCACTAGACCTGCTAGGCTTCTGTTGGCGAAACGCGTGTAAGAATTTGCGATTTTGACTCTTTTTTTTTAAGATTAGATAACACCAAATGAGGATCATTGATTCAACAATTATCTATACATATTGCTTCAAATCGAACCACTTTATTATCAAATTCATTATATCATATCTATGTATTTTCCTGTTTTTTTTTTAATATTGGGTAATGTAAATCAAAATTGATATTCATAGCACTTACTGGGAAGCCGATTATTTTTATTAAATATTATATTTAGTATCTAATATTATTAATAAAAAATAATTTCACAAAAAGGGATAACGTTTTCGACCTCATATTTATTAAAAATTTTTTAATAATTTTTCCTGAACAAATGATTCAGAAGATTTAACGATAGGGTCAACATTCTGTACATTAATCAGCAATTATTAATTAAACTGTATGTGTGAGATCAAAAAATCAATACGAGATAATAAACTACATATTCTGATAATTCGATACA